TCTCACTGTGTTGCCCAGGCTGGAGTGCAGTGGCATGATCCCTGCTCACTGCAACCTCTGCCTCCCGGGTTCAAGTGATTCTCCTGCCTCAGGCTCTGAGTAGCTGGGATTACACTCGCATGCCACCACACCTGGCTAATTTTTCTATTTTTTGTAGACAGGGTTTCACCATGTTGGCCAGGCTGGTCTCGAACTCCTGACCTCAAGTGATCCACCCACCTTGACCTCCCAAAGCACTGGGATTACAGGTGTGAACCACCAGGCTGGGCCATCCCATTTTTTAAAAATATAAATGGTTTAAGTAATTCCCAATTGTAACAACATTGAGAACTGCTGGTTTGATAAGATGTACTTATTAACCATGTGTGCTAAGTGTTGGGCTATTCCTTTTTGTTAGTTCGTGGTTTTGTGTTTTTTTTAGAGTGCCCTTTTCTGTGGCAGTTTTTTTCCTCTTTTTTGCTTCCCTTGCAATGTTGTCACTGATATACCTAGTTCTGGCAGGTGATTTTAGAGAAAAACTGCATGTGACTCAAGTTGCAAAATTAGGGTACATAAAAATCTCAGGTTCAGTTACTGTAAACCAGTTCCCTGAGATTAACAAATATTATGGCAATCTGTCATTATACAGCAATCTGAAGAGGAAAAAAAAATATCTTTCTTAGGCTTACTTCTATTTTAAGTGGAATTAGTAATTTTTAAAACCTTTAAAATAATGAGAATAATCAATGAATTGTAAAAGTCATTCAACACAAGGAATTAACAACATATAATTTCATTTTTCAGGTTTCTATTTATATTAATACTTAACTGAACTTACAATATCACTAGATACTTTAGTACTTATAGTTATTATTGAATTGTGAGAGTATTTGTTATTGATTATGGCCTTTCTCACTTTTACTTTTTTTCCCCTTTTTTTTCATGCAATTGGGAATTTTGCATCATTGTGGCCTTTTTCATTTAAGTTTTCTCTGTCTGGTACCGGATGACGCAAAATCCTCCTACCATGTCGAGGGCACAGGATATGACACCTACCTCCGAGACGCTCATAGGCAGGTAGGTGAAGTCACTAAATGTTGGAAATGAAATCTAAGAATAGACACACACACACACACACACACACACACACACACCACTTGTCACACTGCCCACCACCACTGCTCCAAGGAAATGACTTCATTATTATTCAAAATGAGACCTGGCATCTGGCTTGTCCTAGATGGTCCCAGTTGTAGATCAATGAATTATTTTCATGCTTCCTCGTCACTCTCGAAAATGTCTCTGGGCCAGGCACGGTGGCTTATGCCTGTGATCCCAGTACTTTGGGAGGTCGAGGTGGGTGGATCACCTGAGATCAGGAGTTCGAGACCAGACTGGCCAGCATAGTGAAACCCCATCTCTACTAAAATACAAAAATTAGCCGGGCGTGGTGGCAGGTGCCTGTACTCCCAGCTACTCAGGAGGCTAAGGCAGGAGAATCACCTGAACCCTGCAGGTAGAGGTTGCAATGAGCCGAGATCATGCCTGGGCAACAGAGCAAGACTCCATCCCAAAAAAAAAAAAAAAAAAAATGAGACCTGGTCTCTGCTGTTGCTACTTTTGCTTTGTGCAGGTGACCTTAGTTTGCACTTCACCGATTGTATGTCTCCATCTCAAGATTTCTTTATGCTCTTTAATTTTTTCCCACTTTAAATTATTATCTCACTTGGATCCATTTCTCCTGCTGATCCAAAACATGATATCTTAGTAATTCTACCCACCACGCACCCTTGATCCTCTTCCACAAGACATGATCCTTTTCTCCTTCATTCTGATGCAGACAGTGATTCACAAGTATAGTCCCTCTGCTGCCCAGCTCTGACTCCTTCAGCCCTTGCGTTTCACCTTTCTACCTCACTCAAACGACTTACTTGAAGGTTTGCGCTTAGGTGCTAAATTAAGGAGCCTTTTCTCATTCTTCTTTCCTCTTTATAGCATTTTACATTGTAAGATTTTAAAAATTGTATTAAAAAATTCCTCCTGGAAAGAAAACTTGTATTGAGATAAAATTCAACATTTTAACTATTTTAAAGTGTACAATTTAATGTTTTTTAGTATATTCACAATGTTATGCAACCATCATCACTAATGCCAGAAGATTTCTATCACCCCAAAAAGAAACCCTGTACAAATAAAGCAGTCACTTCTTACTGACCCCTCCTCCCCGCCAACCCCCAGCCCTGGCAACCACTCATCTGCTTTCTGTTTCTATGGCTTTGCCTATTCTGGACATTTCACAAAAATGGAATCATACTATATGTGGCCTTTTGCATCTGGCATTTTTTACTCAGCATAATGTAATGTTTTCAAGTTTCATTCAAATTGAAGCATGCATCAGTACTTCCTTTCTTTTTATGGCTGAATAATATTTTATTGTATGGATATTTTGTTTATCTGTCAGTTAATGGACATTTGGGTTGTTTCTAATTGTTGATTATTATGAATACTAATGCTGTGAATATTCCTTTTTTGTTGAATACAGGTTTTCCACTTTCTTGGGTATATGCTTAGTAGTAAAATTGATAGGTCACATGGTAATTCTGTGTTTAACTTTTTTGAAGAACTGCCCAAATGTTTTCCACAGTGGTGGCACCATTTTACATCACGCCAGCAGTGCATGAGGGTTCCAATTTCACCATTTCCTTGCCAATACTTTTTCTTTTTAAATTATAGCTACCCTAGGAGGTGTGAAGTGGTGTGTCCTTGTGGTTTTGATTTACATTGCCTTATGACTAATGAAGTTGAGTAACTTTTCATGTGCTTAGCAGACACTTGTACTCTTCTTTGAAGAATATTTAAATCCTGGCCAAGTGTAGCGACTCACACCTGTAATCCCAGCACTTTGAGAGGCCAAGGTGGAAGGATCACGTGAAGCCAGAAATTTGAGACCAGCCTGGACAATCCCATTTTTACAAAAATTTTTTTTAAAAATTATCCATGTGTGGTGGCATGCACCTGTCGTCCCAGCTACTTGGGAAGCGGAGGCAGGAGGACAGCTTGAGCTCAGGAATTTAAGGCTACAGTGAGCTATGATGGTGCCACTGCACTCCAGCCTGGGCAACAGAGCAAGACCCTGTCCCCAAAAAATAAAAAGTAAAAAAATCCTTTGCCTGTATTTTAATTGGGCTATTTGTCTTTTTATTGTTGAGTTGTAAGAGTCCCTTACATATTCTGCATAGTAGATCCTTATCAGATATATTATTTACAAATATTTTCTCCCATTTGGCAGTTGCCTTTTCACTTTTTTGATAGTGTCCTGTCGTTCGACACGTAATTTTGTTTTTTTGTTTTTTGTTGTTGTTGTTTTGAGACAGAGTCTCACTCTGTCATCTAGGCGGGAATGCAGTGGCACGATCTCGGCTCACTGCAACCTCCACCTCCTGGGTTCAAGCGATCCTCCTGCCCCAGCCTCCTGAGTAGCTGGGATTACAGGCTTGCACCACCACACCAAACTAATTTTTGTATTTTTAGTAGAGATGGAGTTTCACCCTGTTGTCTAGGCTGGTCTCGAACTCCTGGCCTCAAGTGATCTGCCCACCTTGGCCTCTCAAAGTGATGGGATTACAGGTGTGAGCCACTGCACCTGGCCAAAAGTTTTTAATTTTGATGAAGTGCAACTTAACTATTTTTTCTTTGTGCTTTTTGTGCCATACCTAAGAAATCATTGCCTAACCAAGATTACATAGATTTTCACCTAAATCTCTTTCTAAGAGTTTCATGGTTTTAGTTTATCCATTTAAGTCTTTAATCTATTTTGAGTTAATTATTGTATATAGTGTGAAGTGGGATTCAGATTCATTTTTTTTGCATGTAGACATCCAGTTGTCTCTGCAGCACTAGGTGAAAGGCTATTTTCCATTTATTGACTCTAAGTGTAAAGTTTATTTGAAGACTCAATTCTATTCCACTGACCTATGTACCTGTCCTTATCCCAGCACCACCCTGTCTTGATTACTGCAGTTTTGTAGTAAGTTTTGAAATTGAGAAGTATGAATCCTTTAACTTACTTCTTTCTCAAAATTATTTTGGCTATTTGGAGTCCCTTGTAATTCCATATTAATTTTAGGATTACTTTGTCCATTTCTGCAGAAAAAAAAAAAAAAGCAGTTTTCAGTGTACAGTCTTACACTTCCTTCGTTAAATCTATTCCTAAGTATTTCTTTATTGTAAGTGAAATTATTCTGTGAACTTCATTTTCTGATCTTTCCTAATGTAGAAATACTGCTGGTTTTCGTGTATTGAGCGTCTATCCTGTAACTTCGCTGAAGTTGTTTAAACCACCTCCCACCCCCCATCCCAGCCCCCACCATTTCAAACTTTCTCCTTTTTTAAGGTTTCTGCAGCATCATTCTTTGCTGCTGCTGCTTTTAGGTCTCAGGTGTCATTTTTACTCTGTCCCCCATATTATGATATGGCCAAAAAAACAAAACTATCTATCAGTGGCCCTGTTTTCTATCTTCATTCCTTTGATATTCTTTTGGTTTAGCATTCATCCTGTCGTGAATTCTCTATCTGAGGTGTCCCCAAAGCTCTAACCTCAGCCACTCAGATGTTCTTCTAAGACCTCAGACTTTATCTTTCCAAAGTAGAACTTACAACTGATTCCTCTAAAACTGCATTGCTCCTTTGTTTCCTGCTCTGGTCAGTGGCACATCCATCCTCCTGGTCATCCAAGGTTTTATTTCAGAGTTGCCTGGGTGGGATTCATTGGTCTTCTATTCTCTTTAGCCTCTAGTCTATTGCCAAGTTATATCAGTTTTGCCCCTACTATATCTCTCCTGTCTGCCCCCTTCTCCATTTTTGCTTTTTGCTTTCAGAATCCTAGTTTACATCTTTATTACCTCTGCCAGGATTACAGTAGCCTCATCACTTGTTTCCCCAGCTTGTTCCTTCTGCTTAGAAGCCATTAACAGATTAATCTCATTCAAGTGTGCATCTGAGAACCCCTTCTTCTTTATTAACTCATAAAGTATAAATACTTAGACATCAAATCTTACAATTCAGGATCCTTTTGGATCATTTTCCAGCCTGCTTTTCTGTATTTCTTACTATGACTTTCACTCGCTATCCAAATATAACATTTACATGCATTTATTGATGCTATTCTGTTTGTCTACAAGATTCTCCTCTTATTTCTCACCCACCGTCTGATATCTATATTTCTCCACTGTCTTCAACATCCAGATTAAATGCCAGCTCGTGATTTATTCTTTTTACCCTCTTTCTCCTCTCCCTTCCCAACAGTAAAGGTAACTACTCATCTTCATGCTCATGGCATTATCTCTCATCTTGTGTGGTCCTTTGTGTTTTCTTTCTTGTCTTGGGGTTGTAATAATCAGTCTCTTGAGGGTAGAGTTCATGCCTGATTTACCATTAAATCCCACAAAATATGTACCTTAGAACTTTATACATTTTATAATATCAGTAACTATTTAGTATTTGTTGAATAAATAACCAGAATAAAATATTTCAAAATTTGAAAAAGAATTTTAAAATTTAGAGTCTAGAATTTGAAATTTCTCAAATCTGAAAAATGTACATTTAATTTTCATTTAAATTATTTGGATTGAAGTATGCTATTATATATAACTAATCTGCATATGCACATAGTTAATTCATAACTTTAAAGTCCGCATAAATACATGAATTTGTCTGCATGATGAATAAATTAATGGAGTAGCAAGTAACATTCAAATAACAATCAAAGACAATAAAAGTAAAACATATCTTTTCGGCACTACCGATTAGATTTTTAAACTGCTTTTATTCTTTCTGTAAAGTTTCTCTCATTTTCCATTTTGTGATTAAAATGCAGTTATGATTGTTTCAGAAATATTAGAAAAACAAAAAGGATAGAAGAAATTGAAATATTACTTTCCAAGTCAGAATATAAGAAGTATTAATGTAAAAATTATTTCTTAAAAATTGAGATTTGGGTCGGGCGCAGTGGCTAACGCCTGTAATCCCGGCACTTTGGGAAGCCGAGGTGGGCAGATCACTTGAGGTCAGGAGTTCAAGACCAGCCTGTCCAACATGGTGAAACCCCGTCTCTACTAAAAATGCAAAAAATAGCTGGACATGGTGGCACATGCCACCGCGCCTGGCCATGTTCCGTTGTTGTTGTTGTTGTTGTTGTTTTGAGACATAGTTTCGCTCTGTCTCCCAGTCTGGAGTGCAGTGGCGTGATCTCGGCTCACTGTAAGCTCCACCTCCCAGGTTCACGCCATTCTGCTGCCTCAGCCTCCCGAGTAACTGGGACTACAGGCACTCGCCACCACGCCTGGTTAATTTTGTATTTTGTAGTAGAGAGGGGGTTTCACCGTGTTAGCCAGGATGGTCTCGATCTCCTGACCTCGTGATTCACCCGCCTCGGCCTCCCAAAGTGCTGGGATTACAGGCGTGAGCCACCGCGCCCGGCTGCCATGTTCTAATTTCAGGTAATTTCTAAACTAGAGAGATTAAAGTAATTTTGCTTTGTTAAATAAGGAGAATCTGAAGAGGGAAGGCATATGGAAGAAAACAGTGCTTTAAATTTCTTTTGTTTCAATTCAAGTAAATTACATATTGGGGAGACTTTTAAAATTCATTTTTATTATATGAAATATTCTTGTGTTTATAAATATTCACACTGCTTCACTGATAACTATCTGTAGTGAAAGACCGGGTTTTTGTTTTTTTGGGTTTTTTTTTTTATTCTAATCTGTCACAGACCAACACTTTTGTAAAATACAATAAAAATGAATCCTGGCCAGGCACAGTGGCTCATGCCTATAATCCCAGCACTTTGCCTATAATCCCAGCTACTCAGGAGGCTGAGGTAGGAGAATCTCTTGAATCTGGGAGGCGGAGGTTGTGGTGAGCCAAGATAGTGCCATTGCACTCCAGCCTGGGCAACAAGAGCAAACGTCCATATCAAAAAAAAAAAAAAAAAAAATTAATTCCTATTGTGGAAAATGAAAAGAAAAAAAAGACCTGAAATACAAACCCTGATTATTTCGTAGTTAGATTCAACAGACATAAAACTCTTCATAGTCAAATTGTTAGGAATGCTTTTAAGTGCTTGCTCTTGCATTTTGTCCTCATCTCATTGTGGACAGTAATAAACACTTTGGGGACCAGCACTGGTCCATGGACCATTTCTGAGTAGCGCTCTTTGATCCTATCATAACATCATGCCTAGTGTGCGTCCATTCTAGGAACGGCATGCTTGTCTTGTCAGATAATGTGCATCAGTTCATCTGTGGTATATACCATTTTAGAATACATTTGAAAACTTGGCTAGGTCTGACTTTTCTTTTTAAATATCCTCTAAATCGGTGATGAAAGTAACTAAAGCGTTAACTTCCTTTAAAGAAAAGAGCTGTTAGGGTATTTTAGTAAAGTTAAAATATGTCTCTTTTTCATCAACTTATATTGGTACCAGTAGTTAATATAATCTTACCTGTGTCCCTAGTCACAGAAAGATCTGTGTCATCTCTTCCCCCTCTCCCTTGGTACCTCAAGCATAGCAGACATTCTGCATTCAAATGGTTTTTTTATATGCCTATTTGAGGAAATCATTTCTATTTCATCTTAATTTGTTTTTGTTCTTTAATGATTTACATGCTTTTTTCCCCGTAGTTCCGGGACTACTGTGCTATCTGCTTAAGATGGGAGTGGCCTGGGTCTCCAAAAGCATTGGAAAAGTGCAATTTAGAAGCAGCTTTCTTTGAAGGTCATTTTTTGAAAGTGCTGTTTGACAGAATGGGAAGAATTCTTGATCAGGTAATACATTTTAAATTACTAATTTTCATGTTATTTTGTTGCCATTCACCACAAAATCATCTCAAGTCTTGGTAGATCTTCAGTAAAGTGCTTTTATTGTTTTCTTACTTTTTCCACTGGGTGACTTTTTCATGAAGCTTGATTGCCAACAACTGGCAGATTTCTGATGCATTCTGTATGTTAAAAACATTTATTTGGCCTGACAGTTGCTACAGCATTGTTTATCTCATGATAGGCCATTGTCTTAATATCCTTAACACATTTTGGAGATGATTAGAAGTGCTTTCCTTTTATGACTTGCTTAGCCTTTTAGTTAGTACATTTAGCACAAATACAGATTCTCAATTTAGAAGACCCTAAATGTCAGTTCAGATTGAATCTTGAACACTCTGGTCTCAATAAAATTACAGAATAGTGTTAGATGAACCTGACTCTTTAGACAAAGCTTATAAACAATACTCATTTTCATAACAGAGAGGTGAAATAAAAAAGGTTAGTGTACTCCTTTAAAGGTGGGTAAAAATCACCATCAGCTGATAGGTTGCTATGTACATCTCATCTGTTAAGAGAAATAAATTTGGGATTATGGAATCCCTCCTTCCATCTCTCATTGGCTCATAAGCATAGTGATGAGGGAGCTTTGAAATACTCATACTTGACCCATTAGAATATAAACCTGAAAGAACACAACTAGCATAGTACTTTCCTCAATGTAGAAACTGAGTGGACCAATTTGGAATTAATTTTCAATTGTATATTAAAGTACTTGTTCTTTTTTAGCATTTTAGTTAAATGTTTATGTGAGCATAGGGAGTTATAAGAGAAATTTACTAAGTAGGCTGTCTTCAACACCAGAAAGTCAAATAAAGAAATTGTAATCTAAGAAATATTTCACTATGTTAGAGTTTAGTCAGCATTGTTTCTGACAGTAATCTCTATAAGAGACCAGGTCCTTTTTTTTTTTTTAACCTCTTAATAGCATGTGCTGTATTTCTAGTGTTGCTTCGGTTGGTTGTTTTAAACCTGACAACCAAGGTATACAAATCTGGCTATTAATAGGTATTATGGCCTCACATCATGGCTGTGTAAACCTCCTGGGTAGCCAGGATTCATCAGTTTATTGTTTTCTTTTTTTGTTTTTTGTTTTTGTTTTTGAGCCAGTTTGCTGGGTGTAGTTTAAATTTGATTAAGCTAACAAGCAAGAGTTAATAACAATGAATGTCAAGACAGTAATGTTTAGAAATTTTGACCGAAAGAATTAAAAAAGAATCTAAATTTTAAAAAGTATTTTCTGAATTGGAAGATCCACCCTGAATCTTCAAACTTGAGCACTTTTTCTCTAGTTTGTAGAGTGCTGACACAAAAGGATACATTGAAAGCAGAATATCTGAAATGCTTAAAATACTTTTCGATTTCACCAGATAGCACTTCATAGCATAGAGGTGATTCATAGACTGTTTCAATCATTCTTCCTGTAACCCTGTATCATAGGCAAGACAGATTTCTAGTATTATTCCTCATCTAGTATAGATGAGGAATCCATGGTTTCAGCTATGTGACTTACAGCTAGTAAGCTATGGAGCCCTGCCTGAAACCTTTTATCTTTAAAACTCTTGAGGCCGGTGCACCTTAGTCCCAGCTGCTCAGGAGCCTGAGGCAGGAGGATTGCTTGACCCCAGGAGTTCAAGGCTGTAGGGCGCTATGATTGTGCCTAAGGATAGCCACTGCACACTAGGCTAGGCAACATAGTGAGACCCCGTCTCTAAAACGAAATAAAAAACAAAAAAACCCTTGATTTTTCAAAGCCTTTTTGGTAAGAACATGGTATAGTCTGATCTCAGAGACGAAACACGAGTCCTAGGAAGTTAAGCATTTTTGGCCTAGTTTCATTTTCTTTCATTCCTAAACATTTTTGCTGAGAGTGATGCTTGCTTGTAGTTTCTTTTTTTTCTTTGTCTATTTCTTTTTCTTTCTTTCTTTTTTTTTTTTTTTGTGACCGAGTCTCGCTCTGTCACCCAGGCTGGAGTGCAATGGTGTGATCTTGGCTCATTGCCACCTCTTCCTCCCGGGCTCAAGTGATTCTCCTGTCTCAGCTCCCAAGTAGCTGGGATCACAGGCGCACGCCACCATGCCTGGCTAATTTTTGTATTTTTAATAGAGGCGTGGTTTCACCATATTGGTCAGGCTGGTCTCAAACTCCTGAGCTCAGGTGATCCACCCGCCTGGGCCTCCCAAAGTCCTGGGATTACAGGCATGAACCACCACGCCTGGCCGCCTTCTTTCTTCTTTTTTCTTTTTCTTTTGTTTTCCTCTTCGCAGGGCATTTTCTTAGTATATATTCCTAATAGGGTCTAAGTAACCTGACTGAGATTAAAAATTTAATGAATAATTTGGAAAGTGGCTAAAGTCTTCATGCATAATTGAGAAGTTGTGGTATCAAGTATTCATAACACTCTTGTGTTATCACAATGCTAATTTACAAAAAATCATAATACAAACGTTTACTATTGTTTGTAATGGTTATGATTTTAAAAAGATATTAAAATACTAAAGTCCATAGCAGAATGTAAAGAACATTGTAAGGAGGCCAGATCTTGTCCCTGCCCTGAGCATGATGAGTTTGAATTTGATCAAGTAACTTAGCTACTTGTCACATTTCCTGATTGTTAAAGTGAAGTTGATATTACTTTTTTAACTCAAAGTTTATTATCTCAGAATTTGAGTTCAGTCCAAACACATGGGACAAGTCTATTTGGCATGTCAGAGAAATCTGGCTTGCTTTCCTTTCAGGTAAATACTGTATAAAGTATAAAATAAAGGGACCTCAAATAATAGATATAAACACTTAACTACCAACAACCTCCAAAAAGGCCAGCTTGTTTTAAAGTTATTACCAATAGGAAGTAGAGACCATTTCAGAGTACAGTGAAACAAATTTATCTTGTTGAAATTTATTTTCATTTTTACTACATTAAGAAATCTGTCTCAGCCTTACATTTCTTAAGCAACTTATGACCTAGATTTATGTTAAAATAAACTACAAACCAAAGTAGCACCACACAGAAAAAATACAAAGTCTAAATAGTAATATATTTGTTTAAAGCCAAATTGTATTGATTTCTTTATTTAAGCATCTGCAGATGGCAAAATTTAGTGACCTAAAAATCTTAGCTACCTGCAGTGAAGAGTCATGTACAATTCTGGACTTAAGTCATATTTTAAATTTTTTCTACTAAATACATTCTTTTAAATTATTTTTTGTAAATGATTCCTTCATACCTAAAATACAATTTAATGTGAATTCATTGTTTATTATGAGTTGAGTCTCAGAGAAGGCTATTCTGTTGCAAATATTATCAAGGGAGGAGGAATGGAGAGAAGTTGGTTAATGAGTACAAAAATACAGTTTGAAAGAATAAGTTCTAGGAAATTAGTTAACAGAAACTTATTGTATATTTCAAAGGAGCTAGAAGAGAACTATGGTGTTCCCAACACAAAGAAAAGATAAATGCTGGAGGTGATGGATGTCCCCGTTACCCTAATTTGGTCATTACATATTACACATTGTGAAATGTATCAAAATATCACATGGACCCCCAAAATAGGTACAATTATGGTACCTTAATAAAAAATACCCAAAAGCCCCCAAGCATTACCAAGTAGGAGAAATTGCTCTTAAACTATCCTGTACTGGGAATGCATATTCCCTTTCAATTACCTTGCTTATCACTAGGTTTTGGAAAAAAAAAAAAATGACTTGGAGCAGTTTTTGTTCTTTAAAAAAATCCACATTCATGAATCTAGTAGTAAGTTAGAAAGATTAAAATGAGCCTTACAGCATAGGACTTGAGCGTGTTTGTTTATGTGACAAAACATGTACATCGTAGCGTCAGTAGCTGTGGTGATTTTCAAAAGATAGTAAAATGCCGAAGTCTGTAGTAGAACAGGCACGTGCGCGAGCATTCTCCACTGAATGCCAGAGATTGACTTCCTTATTGCTATTCACTGTGATCAAGGCTTTGCAGGTTGTTCAGTGGCTGAGAGTAAAACATTCCGCTGTGCTGGCTGATGCTGCACTTGGTCCTGACTCCCTGTTCCCTCCACTGTGCTGCAGCATCTGTCTCACTCTTGCCACCTGGGTTCTCTGCAGCCTCCTCACTGTGGTTAGTTTTGTTGCAACCAATTTGTTTCCTTTGGCTGCTTAGAAGAAGCAAACTGGAAGGGGTGAGAAATTTCTGTTGAAAGTTCTGAGCAAGTAGTAGCAACTCTTTGTGTAATGTGCCTTTTACTTTGATATTGACATAACTCTGCAAAGCCCCTTTCCGTGAAGAATAAACAGACAACTAGAATTCAAGTCAAATCGCAATATTTCATACAAAACAAGTGTGAGGAATGTACACAGATACACAGTTGTTTGGGGAAAGTTAATACTCATGCAAGAAATGAGATGATCCCTCTCTGTAATCACCGTTTTGAACCTTCTCATTCACTTTGAGGCATAGGGTCGTCATCAGTTCTATCCCCAAGTACTTTCATTCTGGTGACAAGGTTCTGTGATTTGACTTTATTTTACTGTCTGTGTGTTTTTGGAAATTGCCTGTAGTTGAATAATCTGAGGTGAGGAATATCACTTCTGAAATTACTGTATTTAAAAATGTGTAATATCTTCCCTTCTTGGTTTTTGGTCTTATGCTCAATGGGTCCTCTGTAATTAATATTGTATATGATACACTAGTGCTTTGTCATGACCCCTTGAACAATTTCATTAATTGAATAAACCTGCATATAATAAACATTCTGACTATGTCACTTATTTGCCTTTATATGTTTATATGCTTTTTAAATCTTTTTTAAAAAGTTTTAGGACTGTGATGTATGTAATTTGAGATGTGAGGGCTAGTTTAGTTGTAGATATTTTCATTGCAGAAAAGCATGCAGAGCAAGAAGGAAGATGGTGGATTCTCCCTTCTTTTTTTTTTTTGAGACAAAGTTTTGTTCTTGTTGCCCAGGCTGGAGTACAATGGCGTGATCTCGGCTCACCGCAACCTCCACCTCCTGGGTTCAAGCAATTCTCCTGCCTCAGCCTCCCAAGTAGCTGGGATTACAGGCATGTGTCACCACGCCCAGCTACTTTTGTATTTTTAATGGAGACGGGGTTTCTCCACGTTGGTCAGGCTGGTATTGAACTCCCAACCTCAGGTGATCCGCCCACCTCAGCTTCCCAAAATACTGGGATTACAGGTGTGAGCCACCGCACCTGACCAGATTCTCCTTTCTTAAAAGGACAAATTGAAATAGTAAATTAAGTGCACAGATATACATTATTATTAAATATCTTTCTGTTTTTTACCTCTCCATAGCCATATGATGTAAACTTACAAGTAACCTCGGTGTTATCTAGACTTTCTCTCTTCCCTCATCCACACATCCACGAGTACCTTTTGGATCCTTATGTGAACCTCGCTCCTGGCTGTAGATCTCTCTTCTCTGTAATTGTCAGGGTGAGTTACTAGTTCTGTTATATTCCCTAGGATTGATAAGTTTGCAATTAATATGTTAACATCATTGTATGCAGTTAGTGTCACATAATGAAAAATATATCTACTGCTTCAAAGTAATTGTTATACATATATATACACATTATATATAGTTATAATTATATATGATTATAAAATAATTTTTAAAATTATTTTTAATAATATGTAACTTTTATTTTAAAGAATTAGGTATGAGTCCTTGGTTAAAGATGATTTATATGAGTAGTGAAAGTTTACATTATTTATTAAATGATGGGAATGAAGATTTTTTCTAAAATCCTGAGGTTGTCTATGTAGCTGATTTCGGGAACTGAGGTGCCTTGCCTCTGTGATGCAGGTTGTTGGAGACCTTATGCTTCGAATCCAGCGTATTCAAGACTTTACTCCCAAGCTTCTGTTAGTCAGAAAGCGATTACTTGGTTTGGAACCTGAAGGCCCTCTGTAAGTTCATGTTTTACGTTTTTTTAATCCAAAAAGTTCAGTGAACTTAATGATCTGCTGATACATTGAATTGATTTATTGTCTGTTTTTCCCTTACCAGTATTGACCACATCACACTGCTAGAGGGTGTGATTGTGTTAGAAGAGTTCTGTAAGGAGCTGGCGGCAATTGCGTTTGTGAAATATCACGCTTCCTCCACACCATAAATAACATCTTTCAAGTAACTAGGAGAACAGAACTACTGTGTACATTTCATCAAAAAAGACTCAGCTCCACCCAGCCACAAGAGGATAAAAAGCCTTTTTAAACGAAGTATTGCTGTAAACTGGACAGAACCATTAAGAACCTATTGAGTGGACATTCTTGGTAAAATGTTGTATAATGTTGTTTTCATTGGCTTTATCATAATGGTTCTATTATAAAATTGCACATTGTCGAATCCAGGATACAATCAAAGGAACTTCAGGAAATAAGCATTTCTAATGACTGTGTTTGAAAAGCTGCAATATTTCCGATGTCATGACTTTGATGATATTTCTGTTATATTAATATCCTTTTAGGTAGCAAGGCATTTTGACATTCTCTGGGACTCAAATGCTTATATTATTTTGGATTAATAAGTAGCAAAAAAATCACTAATTTTATAACTTTTTAAGGTCAGAATTCTTATCAAACAAAATATGAAAAAAACTGTAAATGAGAAAAAATACAATTCAGAAACCATTGAATGAATTAATTATAGGAGATAAAAATGTGTAGAGCACCATTAACTTTCTTCAGCTTTTTTAAGAATAACAATTTAATATGATAAATTCTTGATCAATATATCTCTATTTTTAAAGAAATGTTCTTTTACTCTTGTGCACATAGCCATGTTAGTGATTTTCTTCATGTATGGGTCCCAGTTGATTTAAACTGTGTCATTTTCGCAACAATGTTGAATTTATGCTCACCATTGGTAGTGTTTGCTAAAACTGTATTTTTTTTTTAAACTAAGTAAGATGTACTGGGTCGAGAACCTTTTTCCCCCCTCTCTCCCTCTCAGAAAATTGCTTTATAAAATTGCTTTATAATTTGATTTTCTTACTGAAACGCATGGTGGTGTCTAGGTGAGGAACTGACTGATAACCCTTGGCAGCAATCAAAATGCCAGTGGGTCCTCGATGTTTACATTTTTTTCTAGTTTGTTTGGTCTTTTGTTTTAAATGATTCTAAAGAGATTAAAGAAAACAGACTTTTAAACGTCCTGTTTACATGTGAAAGGATTTGGGGAAATTGGGTATGTATGTGAATGGGTATACATGTAGGAACCTGTAGTTCAGCAAAGCTGCGCTGGGCACAGCATGCTTGTACTCGATGGACAAAATCGTGTTTGCTAGTCCGCTTTCTATTTTTCCTTTAAGTGACACTGATCACTCAAATACTGTTTTTAATCTATTGTTTGTTTTTATCTGACATTTTAAGCAGCAGCACTTTCCTCTTTATCTTTTCATTTACTGATATTTGGGGAAACAGGCTATCAAAGGCTCCAGCTTGAAGGGAACTCTCACTACCCCCTCTAGGAAGTTATTTTATGTAGCATGTTTGTATATATGCATTGTGTGGCATGTGCGTAGAGGCTTGTTTTACACCTGTCTGCTCATTTTGTTGTATTAGCTTTTCTGGTTTATTTCATAGTTTGTTTTTGCTATTTATTAAGAACAATATCAAAAGATTATGAATAGCATCAGCCCTAGAATGCTTACCACTGTTAAAACAACAAAAAGACTAAACCTCCAATTTCATGCAAATCTTTATTAGCTTATTCTAAGAAATTTATTAAGTAAAACAAAGAAAAAACAAAAGTGGGAGATAGTTATTTTGTGCATGATTGTCTTTAAATCATTTTGAATGATGTGAAGGCATTATTCAGTTTGCTGTATTTTTTAAATCACTTCATACAGGGAACACTTCGACATTTCCATTTCTAGATGTAGTAACAGTCTACTTCGACGTACAAGTATTTAAACTAAGGCATTAAGAGATATTAGATATTTCTTAATGTTTTCATAGTGCTCAATAGGTGTAGTAGCAATGATATTACCTCTGAAACCAAATACTGTTTTATCCTTGATTTCACTATGGGACCTTATAATTACTCCATGAAACCAAGCTCAGAAAAGCTTTAACTCTTGTATGTGTGTATGTGTATGCTGCTTCTGAAAATATAATTTTCCTAAGTTATTGTAATGACTTTAATTTGTAATCAGCTAAGGCTTAAGATTTCATTTGTTTCTCGTCTAAGTTTCTGTTTTTCTTCCCTTCTTTTTTTCTTTTACATTTAGTTCAGAGCTAGAGCCAGTACAAGCTCTCACAGTGAGTTCAATTTGTTAGTTGAAACGTTGTACTGCATCACTAGTCTTCTTAAACTGTCTGTTGACAGCTGAATATTTGTTACTCAGTACTCGCAAAAACAGTGACTAAAATGCACTATGTTGAGTGGAAAGCACGGTCATAACAACTGATTGCCATAGCAAGTTCCAAAGTGAATTTCAGCCTTGCTTCACATTTGTATCAATAAGTACGCACATTTTTTAAAACTTTCTAACAGTATAGTCTTTGGGTTTGTTTTTAGTTATGAGCCACATTCTTTACTTGATGTAACTCAGATTTGTCTTAGCCTATTGCCATATAGTACTCACCTTATAACTATGTAACTTTCTCATAATGTATCTGTTTGTGCAATATGGAAGCTGTGAGTGGATTCATAGCTTTTTGGTTTAATTGTACATTATTGTGTGTGTACATATGTATATATGTGTATATATAAGGACCAAAATTCTTAGCTCGCTTACACTGTTGCTAGTGTAAACATTGTTACACTTAATTTTACAGGGCACAAATTATGGAATTACTTCATAAATTCATGGTAATGTTTCCATAAATTATTGCATTAATATACAATTACCATTTAATTATGAAGTCCATCAGTATTGACAGAAAAAGTTACAGTGAAGTGCTAAAACCACATTATATGGTAATTATATTTTGGGTTGCATAGTAAATCAAATGTGCATGTCATTGTGACACTTTATGTGTTAAAACATGGTAGATAATCACATTTCTGGCCCCTGTAAAATAGTGTTACTGTAATACTCTGTTTTGCCTCCTGCCTTGTTTACATTAAACAGGATATTTGGTAAATTTTTTGTATCGAACGTTGTGTAGGTTACTGACAGTGTTACCAACGTCTGGAATTCTTGGTCCATCCGTGGAGAAACTCTTCAGATGGTCATTGTGTACCTACTCTCTCTTCAAAGGAAGTTGTGATCAAGTTCAACTTTTTGTGCTAACAATGCATGCAGGACTAAGAGGGATGATCTAAAAAATAAATAATGTAATTTAAACAAAATGTCTTACGTTTTTGTAAAATTCTACTTGGGAACGTTTTATCCAATGATAAATCTCAAGCAAGTCTTAACTTTTTGCACCCCCAACACACAAAGGGATATGGCACACCACAATCAGTGGGTCTCTATAGTATTCTAGGGAGAGAACAAAAAGCAATATATCTATTTGTGGAGGAGAGATGTGTAGCTTGAAAAATTCCCCCAGGTAAACCTCATAGTAAACCTCATATATTTCCTCCACCTCCCTTCTTAATAATCACTGCACAAAAGGAAGGAATGTTATGCACGTCTGAGAAAAACAATTTTTTTTTTTTTTTTGAGAGCCTCGCTCTGTTCCCCAGGCTGGAATGCAATGGCACGATCTCAGCCCACTGCAACCTCTGCCCCCTGGGTTCAAGTGATTCTCCTGCTCCAGCCTCCTGAGTAGCTGGGATTACAGATACCTGCCACCATGTCCAGCTAATTTTTGTATTTTTAGTAGAGACGGGGTTTCACCATGTTGATCAGGCTGGTCTTGAACCTCTGACCTCAGGTGAT